AAGAGGAGGGGTCACAAGTGTCAGATTTTGGAATCTGATGGCAGATCTTATATGTAACAGATATATGTGGGTCTGACTCTTAGGAGGGCTCTGCTGACCTTAGACTAGTAGAAGTTTGAGGAAACAAAGCTAGAAATAATATATGGGGAATCACGTTGGCGCTGAGCGCGGGCGAGCCCTGGTCGCGGGCCTGCAGCGTCAGCTCGAAGGCGCGCAGCTGCTCGTGGTCGAAGGCGCGCTGCGCGAACACCACCCCGCTCTGCGGGCTCACGGACACGTAGGACAGCAGCGCTCTAGGCTCCAGGTCGCTGGCCACGATGGAGTAGGAGACCTGGCCGTTGGGTCCCAGATCTGGGTCAGAGGCACTGACTTGCGCGATAGACGCTCCAGATGGGTTGTTCTCTGCTACATATACCAAGTAGGACAACTGGTTGAAAACAGGAGCATTGTCATTGATGTCAGCAATGTAAAAGGTGACGCTTTTGCTGGAGGAGAGGGGCGGTTTGCCCCTGTCTGTGGCAATGATGGTGATATTGTACTCCGGAGTCAGCTCTCGGTCCAAGTTGCTGTCTGTTACCAACTTGTATGAATTTTTGGACGAAGAGATTATTTTAAAAGGAACTTCACCTTCTAGCTGACAATTTACCTCCCCATTTGCCCCAGAATCTTGGTCATGTATTTTGATCAAAGCAATTAGTGTTCCCGGTACTGCATTTTCCAGAATCATTTCCAGGAGAGAATGGAATGTAATTTCTGGGCTGTTGTCATTTTCATCTTGAACACTAACATCAACTGTACATTGTGCAACCAGCCCTCCACCATCCCGTCCTTCCACCACTAGAGAAAATTCCTTAATGTCTTCAAAATCCAGTGTCTTTTGTAATATAATTTCTCCACTCTTTGAATTCAGACTAAAGACTTGCCCGGTTCTGTGAAAAGAGTAAGTGATTTCTGAGTTGAAGCCCTCATCCTGGTCAGTGGCTGACACTTGCAGCACAGTGGTGCCCGGGGCCGTGTTTTCTGGAAGACTGACTTTGTACACTTCCTGGCTGAATACAGGGGTATTATCATTGGCATCAGTGACATGGATTTGGAGCTCAGTGGTACCACTAAGGGGTGGATTTCCACCATCCATGGCAGTCAGGACTAAATGATGGTAACTCTGTTGTTCCCGGTCTAAGGTTTTGTCCAATACCAGTTCTGGGTATTTGCTACCATCTTGTTTCTCCTTATTTATCAGTGAGAAACTAGGACTAGGAGACAGCTTATAATTCTGTAGCGCATTTAAGGCAATATCTGCATCTTCTGCTACTTCTAATATAAATCGTGTGCCTGGATGTGCAGACTCGCTTATTTGCAGCTCAAAGGAAGTTTGCGTGAATTTTGGCGAGTGGTCATTAACGTCCTCGATCTCCACACTCACATGATAAAAGTTCAACGGGTCTTCAGCAACAGCCTCAAATTCCAGGACACACGCAGGCCTCTTCCCACATATCTGCTCCCTGTCTAGCCTACTGCTCACAAGCAGCTCCCCGCTCTCTGCGCTCACTGAGAAGTAAGGTTTCTCCGAACTGACGCGCAGCTTCCGAGTCGGTAACTCCTGGACGCTGAAGCCCAGGTCCTTGGCCAGGTTCCCCACCACCGAGCCCTTGGCCATTTCCTCAGGGATCCTGTAGCGGATCTGCTCCGAGAGCGCCGGGCTGAACAAAGACAGCAGCAAGGGAAAGAACACTGGCCGCCTCTCAGCCCTGCCCCTCTGCACAGCGCCGCTCCCCATCCCTCCTGCTCCCTCAGCTTGCTCACCGGCCTGGAGACGCGGGCTCACGAATAAGCACTGTATCGCAGACACGCGGGGTTCCGGATGGGCTTTAGTTCTCAGTCCCAGTCCAGGGAAAGTTTCTTCTCTTTTCCAGTAGGAAGCGGTCTAAGGGCTCGCCCTGGCGAGGGTGAGAGGGCGGCCCTGGTAAGCGCGGTGCGGCTGCGCGAGGAGAAGGCGAGCGCCGAGCTCTGGTCTTTGGCCAACAGCGGCGCCCAGAGTGCACACTGGGGAACTGCAGCCTCTGCTGTTTCAGTTCAGTAGGATTAGTGTAAGTATGCCCAACTAAAAGATGATGTATTTTTATGTTAATATTTTAAAATAAAGTGTAAAGCCACGTTTCAGGTACCTTTTCCTCTTGATTTTCAATTGTTACAAATAGCACTTTGGTTTTAATAAAAGTCTTCATGTCTACTCTTTCACAATTCTACATACACTAAGCTTTTACCCATAACTAAGTATTGCTCTTGTTGAGTAGTAAAATAAGACAAGAGTTCTTGCCCCTAGACACCTCACAGTCTGCTGATTTTACAAATTTGTCTCTTTATTAGCTGTGATATATTGATATTTTAATTTTTCCACTCGTTCCTGCGAATCTCACCCAGATATCTCTAATACTGTTTTATATCAAATAGGTTAGAGAACAGCAATACTATTGAACATCATTTTGTTATGTTATGCATCTTCAGATATTTCCGCTTCCTGATAATGTCAACACTCTATAAAATTATTTCTCCATATTCTTCTAATTCTCCATATTCCTCAAGGAATATTTATTCAAGAAAACTGACTCAGTGGAGAAGTTAAAATACGGTATACCCTTCCAAGTCCCTCCTCTTCATATCTCAGAATTAATTGGCTATATCTTTATATTGCATCAGTTTGTTCTTTAAAGTTACAGGGCAAATGATTACTCTGCAATACAAAATCACAAAAGGGATATTCCAATAGACTATAATATTTCCCTATATATGAATATTACACTGAAATAACAACTGGAATTGAAGTAATTGAGGTATGGTAATTTAGGATATAAATGTATACAACAGGTAACTCAATATATATGGTGGGTAACTGATTCTTAATTGAATGAATGATAATCAAAATAAAATAGTGGACGGCTGAAAAAGGTTGAGCAAAAAAGGGAGGGGAGTTGAACAGACTTGTCTAAATCTTTTGCAAGCAAATGAAACAACCGCCGATGGCTATTAGCATTATATTGTGTAGTGTCACCATTAAAATATACACAGAAATTATTTTCAACGTTGACACAATGTGTATCAAAATACATGAATTTAAATTGAACAAAATTTGTCTGAGAGATAAAAGCAAAGTATTGAACTCACCTGAGCACAAGCAGCTTCATCTTTTAATTCATGAAAATCTACGGATGTTAATAAAGGATCATTTTTCTCACAGCTCTCTTGGCTAATGAGTGTGTCTGCATAGTTGGGCTGAGGAAATATAAGATTGCTTGTTTGGGAACCTGCAGTGAGGGAGACCTCGTGGGAATAGTTCTGCAGAAAAGCTTGTACTCCATCGATGCCCACAAAGTGTGAGGGAGGCACACCCACTAATCCACCTTCAGAGGCCTGGAGCAGGCGAGATTTCTGCCAGTGCTGAAGCCTGAGCAAAAGCAGCACAATGACGAAGGTGAGGAAGACACAGGAGACAACGGCTACTGCTACCACCAGGTAGAGTGTGAGGTCAGAATCATCTGGAATCTCAGGGGTCCTGATGTTGCTTAAGTCAGCTAATACTTCAGGGATGCTGTCAGCCACTGCTACAGTGAGTGTGATGGTAGCTGAGAGAGGGGGCTGACCATGGTCCTGGACAGCCAACACAAGACTCTGCTTCAGAGCATCTTTGTCTAGTAGGGTCCTTGCTGTGCGCACTTCACCTGTGTGCAGCCCCACAGAGAAGAGCCCCGGATCACTGGCCTTAAGAAGGCGGTAGGACAGCCAGGCATTCTGTCCTGAGTCCCTGTCCACTGCCACCACCTTGGTCACCAGATAGCCAGGCTCTGCAGATCGGGGAGCCAGCTCTACACCAGTAGACCCATCAGTGGGGAGAACAGGATACAAGATCTCAGGGGTGTTGTCATTCTGGTCCAGCACAAATAGGCTCAGTGACACATTGCTGCTTAGTGGTGGATCTCCACTGTCACTGGCTGTCACCAGTAGCTGCAAGTCTTGGATCTGCTCATAGTCAAAAGATTGCAATGCATACAGGACACCAGTATCAGAGTTGATGGAGACATAGGAGGTCAGAGGCACTCCTTGGATGGTTTCCTCAGTCAGGGAGTAAGTGATTTGTGCATTTTCTTGGCTGTCAGGATCATGTGCAGTCAAAGAGAAGATGGAGGCGCCTCTCAGGTTGTTCTCTGGAATATAGGCTGAATAGGAGGCACGAGGAAAAGTAGGTGGGTTGTCATTGGTGTCTGCCACAATCAAAGTGATATAAGCTTCAGTAGACATAGGTGGGGTGCCTAGATCTGAAGCTATCACTGTGATATTATAGACAGAGACTTTTTCTCTGTCCAAGTATTTCCATGTCACCAATCTATAATAATTATTTATTGATGATTCTAATTTAAAAGGTAAATCATCACGTGTGAAACAGACAACTTGTCCATTCTTCCCAGAGTCTCGGTCATGCACATTCAAAAAAGCAATTACTGTGCCAGGAAAAGAATTTTCCAACACTGGGTTAAATAAAGATGTAATGGTCACTTCAGGCCCGTTGTCATTTACGTCATCCACCGAAATGAGCACTTTGGTTCTCCCCAAAAGTGCCCCCACATCTTCAGCTTGTATTTCCATTTCATAGAACGAGCATTCTTCATAATCTAGACTTCTCGCCACTGTTATTTCCCCACTGTTTTCATCAAGCTGGAATAAGGAAGATTGTTTCTCATTGATTTTCCGCAATTTGTATGTCACTTTTGCGTTGGTTCCCTCATCCGGATCGCTAGCTCTTACTGTGAGCAGCAGGGTGCCCGGGGGCACGTTCTCAAGGACTTTCACTCGGTAAGTCGGTTGAGCAAAGACCGGGGCGTTGTCGTTTGTATCCAGCACAGTCACCTGGATGTGCACCGTGCTGGAGCGGCGCGGGTCGCCGCCATCTGAGGCGGTGAGGACCAGATGATGAATGGCTTCTTCCTCTCGGTCCAGGGCGCGCTCCAGCACCAGCTCTGGGCTGATGGTTCCATCGTCTGCGGTTTGCAAGTCCAGAGAGAAGTGGTGACTGGGGCTGAGCTGGTAGCTCTGTAAGGAGTTCACGCCCACATCCGGGTCAACCGCTTCTGGGAGTGGATAGCGTGCTCCAGGAGAAGCAATTTCATTAATTTTTACTTCCAGGGTTTCAACATGGAATTTTGGATTATTATCGTTAATGTCAGTAATTTCTATTTCTATCCCAAAGAGTTTTCCTTTATCCTCAGCTAGGATGTTAATATTTACAAGACACCGCGCGCTCTGGGCGCACAGCTCCTCCCGGTCTATCCGGCCCGCGGTGACCAAGCTGCCGCTGCGCGGGTTCAGAGAGAAAAGCTGCGTCCTACCTCGGGAGACGATGCGGACTCCGCGCTCCGCCAGCTCCAGGGGCTGCAGCTCAAGGTCCTTGGAGATGTTGCCCACAAATGTGCCTCTGTCCGTCTCTTCTGGCACCGAGTATCGTATCTGTCCTGTCCCGAGCTCCCACAGCGTCCCTAGCAGCGCGCACAACAGGACCAGCTCACCGCGTCCCTGGTGATTCTTTGGAGCCGCCATTGTTCTGTCGCCACAGAAAATTTTCCGAATCCTCACTGGGCGCCTGTCTCTTGTTTCCCTGTTTGCTGCAATTACGGAGATCACAATCTTACGCAAAGCTGGAAAGTCCTAAATTTAGGTATTGAATCTCTCTCCATCCCAGAAATTGGTTTGTGGGATCTGCCGGTCGGTGTGATATGTGAGCCCTTACAATTAGATGGCCTTTCCGCTTACATTGCTCTCCCAGTAGGTGAACAGCGGCGCTTACAGTCCTAAGCAGTTACTGCACTTAGATACCAATTATGTAATACCCCGCTAGGTTAATGAGGAAAAAATATTACTAGCTTTATATTACTTCATTTTGAATTGAATTTGCCTTATATCCATATTTTAAAATAAGTTACCAAGGGACTTGGGTAAAGGGAATAAAAAGGTTTTACAAAATATTATCGTATGATCAGATTTTTGGGATAGCATATTAAACTACTTACATTTCTAGGATACATTTGCTCCTCTTAAATAAACATGATAATTATTTCCCATCATGCCTTCACACGTTTCTCAAATGTCTTCTGGATATATGGTGTCAGTTTTTTAGACTAAAATATACCTACTGATTTCATTGAATCATAAGTTGTGTTTATTTAAATTAATACAGTATTTTACTGTAGAGTTGCTTTTAGATTTTAATCCTAAATATCTTTTAAATTATGCATTGGTAGTGTTTCAAATTAACATTGCGACATTTTAACAGGACAAGTGCTTTGAAAATTCAAGTTTTATCAAAGATTATATAGTCTTGTGATTTTTATGGAAACTGTTTGTATTTTTTCAAAAGAATAGAAAGAATTAGTAATTGACAGGACTAATGAATATACTTACAAAAGCAAATCTGCATCCTACCCCCTTTCATCAAAGAGAAATGATTACATTTTAAAGCACACTACTTTTTAAAGTAGATATATTCTAAAGTTCATTTTAGCTTCCTTAGTACTTTGATCAGAAGAACAACAAAAGTAAGGAACACATAACTATCAGTAAGTTGAACAATAGTACCGCTACAAAAGGACCCCTTCCTTCAATTTCTAAAGTGGCCATTAATGAAGCAGGTGCTAAAGGATGTCTAGGAGATAGCTGAGAAAATGTACTATAATGTTTACTATAGATTTCATGTGCACATCAGATTGACAATTTAACCTAAAAATGTGGAAGAATTAAAGACTTCTATTAGAGGAAGTACAATGATTAGATTTTAGATATATTAGCTTAGGGCTGCAATAGGAGGGTTAAAATTACATATTAGGACTGTGCAAAGAACAACAGAGGTGAAGCATAATTTTTTCTCTCTCTCCTTTGTTTTTGTACTGGGAATCAAACTCAGGGCCTCATGCTTGACAGGCAGCCACTGTGCCTCTGAGTTACATCCCTGGCCCATTTATCTCTTCTTTGATGAAGGAGCCTAATGAATGAGCTTCAGTACAGATGAATCCTGAAAAACCTATTCTGCCAGAAAGGAGAATCTGCTTTTGATCTTCTGATGAATATAGTGGATCTTCCACTAAATAAATGATCACACACGCACACAAACACACACACACACACACAAATACACTCTATAAAATTACAAGGTGTACATGGACATAAAAACCCAGTTTAATATATCATGCTAGGAGATTTTGAAAAAAAGTAACAGAAACAAAATGGAAAATTAATATAGAAAAACTCTGGGTTAAGCTACTGACAAAAATCTAATATAGTTGAAATTCCTTTGCTTTCAATTTATTTAAATAATTTTATATGTATAATATGTATAAGCTAAATAGTATTCCTCATATACAGTATCTCATCCCCAATAAATTGAAGAGTAGCATCTTGCAACAGGAAGAATAATTTATGAAGAAATCTTATTCACTTCTTACAAGAGAGTGCCAATAACATTGCCTAAGGATTTCACCTTGTGTTAAAACCACACAATCACTGCTGTGTAAATCTGAGTTTGGTACGATGCACTTATGAGCCATACAATTACTCCGATTTCATCCAATCTTTGAAGAATTGTATGAGAACCTTTTAACTTTTGAGTCAGGGGTTATTCTAGGGATCAAATATCAAGACCCCCAGCACGTTAGGAAAGTGCTCTACTGCTTAGCTACATTCCCAACATCTCACTAACACTTTTTAAAGATAATGAGGGACAGAGCCTGGGACTTAGCTCAGTGCCACAGCATCTCCCTGGCAAGCACCAGGCCCTGAGTTTGACTCTCAGTACCAAAAAAAAAAAAAAAAAAAAAAAAAAAAAAAGAGAGAGAGAGAGAGAGAAAGACCACTCAGGATATCTGTATATGTATTTTCCTGTAAATATGGAGAACTATTTAGAAAATGAGAGGAAGTTATTCTTGAAGGAAACTCACCGGATGGGAAGTTGACTCGCTGAAATTACAAAGTGGAAATAAGGCTCCAGATGAATCACCGCAAAGGATGTCTTGTCCTGAACTAAACTGCTCAGTACCTTTTAGAAAATTAAACTCCGTGATTCCGGTTTGTGCAACACACAGATTGTAGGAATAAGGCAAAGTTCCCTCGCTGTAGTTGGAAGGAACCACAGGTCCAGACTTCGAACAGGGACCATGCTGAAAACATCCCCAAGTAGTAGGGCTGGAGGAGTGTCGCAGGCGCAGAGCAATTGCCAGAATCACTGCAAGGAGGAAGAGCACTGAGATCAAGGCCAAAGCCACCACCAGGTAGAACTGCAGCTCGGCCTGGGGGTCAGAGGACACAAGGTCTTCCCTGAGGTCCGGCAGCACCTCCTGCAGGCTGTCCGCGAAAACCAGGTGCAGCGTGGCGGTGGCCGAAAGAGGAGGCTGCCCACCATCCCGCACAGCGACCAGCAGGCGGTGGCGGGCAGCGTCCTTGTCGCCCAAGGCAAGCGCTGTGCGCACCTCGCCCGTGCGCAGCCCCAGGCTGAAGAGCCC